TTTTTGTGGTTATATTCAAGAAATTGCTTAAAAGAAAATTTGAATTTCTGGCCTTAATAATCGTTTTTCAGAAAACGTAAATGTTATTATAGGTATCTTTAATGGTGGAATTTGAGGGGAATTTGTGAAGAAGAAGAAGGAAAATGAAGGTTGAGTTTATGGAATTTTGGAAGGTTTGAAGAGTAGGAATTTAGAGAAAAGTTCATAAAAGAAAAAGGAAAACAGAGAAGGGTAATTGATAAGAGAAGGAAGAAGTTGCAGAAGAAGAAAAAGAAGGAAGAAAAAGAAAGAAGAAAAGGYCGTGGGTTTGGTAGGAGAAGAGAGAAAGAGAGAAAAAGAAGATGGGTYGTTGAACASAGGAGAGAGAAAGGGATTTTGGGATAAAAATAAATTAAGAAAAGTAAGAATGAATTGGTAAAAGAAATGGRAAATCACGTGAGAAGGTGAAAGGAAGAGAAATTCAATGGGTTTTGGTGGGACCCACTAATAAATGGTATGAGAGAGAAAAAGGGTGGGTTGTTAATGAAGAGGGAGAATGAGTTATAAAATTGGATTTATGTGGATTAATTTGGAAGATAATGTAATTTCAATTGGGAACAAAAATATGTTGAAGTTAAATTGGATTAAAGCATGAATTAATTTGGTATTGAATCGATATTTCAGGTCAAGCAGAAATTGGAACGGAGGACGATCGAGTTTGAAGGATTAGTGAGTGGTTATTTTATTAAATGGTTTTAGATACCTATTGATATAGAATTTATGAGAAATTATATATTATGTATGATTTAGCATTTCTGCTAAGAATGAAAGAAAATGTGTTTGTTCGAGAATTTAGAAATGTTTTTGAGAATTTAAAAATGTTTTATGATTTASAGAAATATTTGAAGAAAGATATGAAAKGTTATTTAGAAAGAGATTTCAGAAAATGATTTTAGAATTTCATGAAATGTTCTTAGAAAGAAAGATTTTAGAAATGATTCGAGGAAGAAAGAAAAGTTCTTAGAAAGAAGGAAAGAAGAATTTTAAAAYAGTTTACGAGATTGAGAAAGAAGTTTTCAAACCACCATGTTATTGTATCCAGGTGATTACCYGTATGCTATGTGAATGTGTTTCTATAGTATACCCAGAAATAGAAGTTCTTTGAGACCATTTTACTCCACGTGTTGAGAGAATTATTCTGCTATGCGTATTGAGATTACTCTATGCTAGTAGACCAGAATTATTCTGCTGTATGTATTGAGATTACTCTACGCNACGTGTTGAGAGAATTATTCTGCTATGCGTATTGAGATTACTCTATGCTAGTAGACCAGAATTATTCTGCTGTRTGTATTGAGATTACTCTACGCCAGTAGACCAGAATAGAATGTGGATACATGTGTGGTGTTGAGTTTTATCTATCTGTTTTATGTTTGAAGAAGAATGTTTTAAATGTTTTAGAATGTGTTTTAGCGCATGTTGAGAAGTTGGCGTAACTAGGTCGCAGGGAATGCAGGGGAATGCCGGGGCGATAAGGGCCAAATCCGGATTCCGAATCCTGGTCCGAATCCTGGACTTGGGAGCGTTGTCTTTTCGGTTTGCCTGTAAAGAAATTGTTGTTACAAATTTGATTTTGAGAAGTTTACTRAGTTTTATGAAATGTATAACGTTGCTCTAGTTTTACTCGAATTTTATGGAATTTTAATGAGAATGATTATTACTTCAGTTTTATGATGTTTGTTTTAAGAGCTGAAYTTTAAGTTGTTTATGAAACGAAGTTGATGACAATATTTTCTTATTAACTTACCACTCACTGACGTTCTCAGCTCACTGTTTATGTTTTGTTTTCCCCCCAGGYTGTACYTGAGTATCTGAGTTTCTGAGTTTCAAGAAGAATTTAGTTCAGCTTYTGCCACCCCGAGTTGTTCAAGAGTTGCATATYCTTTTGTATGTAGTTTAGTTGGTTTGTAAGAAATTTTATCTGCATTCTGTTGATAGGAAAAGAATGTATAGAATGGATGTAAGAATGATTGTTTGGTTAAGATTAATATTTTATTGTGCATCCATTTRGAGTTGTTAGTCAAAGTTCAGGTCAAAGGAAAGAAAGAAGTTGACCACTAACTTCGTAGTTAGTCGAAGTCTGTGGTCGGCGCAACTCGTYCTAGGACGAGTRGGTGTTTGGGACGGGTCRTGTCGGTAAGTGCAAGTGCACACTGTCACAATTAATAYCATGGAAATATTYCAAGTTCGTCTCCATATGGACTAGTTTTC